ATGAGTTCAATATTTTTTTTATCGTGGTGATGGTGGTATACAACACACACACACACACACACACACCCATCCATCCATCCATCCATCCATCCATCCATCCATCCTCGTTTAAATTAACAAGGTCATTCGTATGGGAGAAAATAGAAGGCTTGTGTGTATTTACAGGAATTGAGAGAGAGAGTGAGTCAGTAAACGGTGATGACAGACAGTCGTACAAAAAATCCAAGAGTTGTTGTACTTCTGATAATGATTTCCTATAAAAGGGGGGCAGTTACCGTATCGTACTTGGTGAGTAATTATCGAACATCGGGGCAAGGTATCATACACGTTGAGAGGGATGAAGGGAGTGGGGTCGAGAGGGAGAGAGGGAAGTTACCGCACTACACAACTCGACAAATCAATGGAATGATTATCGTACGCGGGGTGAAGTACTCAGTCAGCTAACGTACTCACATGTTCGTACTCAGGTAATGTTGTATACTGAGGATGATTTTTTGATCATTCTGAAACATATCGTTCTCTCTAAGTTATTGTACTCATGGGGGTAGTATTGTACTCTGTGATAAGTTATTGTACTCGTGGGGTAAATTTGTGTACTCATGACTAAGGTATATAAAGAGATAGAAGGATGTGGTGACGTGGGAGGGAGGGAGAGAAGGATGTGGTGTAGTGTGTGTGTGGTCAAGTGTGGATGAGTGACCTACCTGCTCCACACCCCATGAAACTTCCCTTCTCTGTCGCTGGGCAGCCAATGAGTAGTGGTCGGGCATCTCTGGAACCAATGTAGGCATGGGTTACTATCTCATGTCATTGTTTGCGTTGACCAATCTTTGTACAGCACGGTGATCAAGAACCAATCAGCTCACGTCATAATGAGCTAAGGACCAATCAACGCATTTAACGTTATAATGTACGAGAACCAATGAACGAGGGTTTTGTTCTTTATTCTCCCAGGACGAATCTTAAACATGAGAACGGCCGCTCTAGTGCGCCATTAAGGCATTAACCCCCCTGAGTACGAGGACTTAACCTCTTAAAATGTGACGACTGAGTACAATATGAACATACTAATGGTACTCAAGGGTTTAACTCATCTTACATCAAGGAGTATCAACCTCTGAGTCTCAACAAATTGTGAAATACCCGACTCTCCTAATCTCCCCCTACCACCACATCCCACAGGTCCCCAGCCGTCACCATCACCTCGTTCCTTCGTGGCTAAATCCTCCTCCACCTGGGCACTTATTCTTCACTATATGGCCCCTCCTGCACCGTAGCCTTTATATCATTTAAGCTTCAGGAGGCAGGCATGAATTCTATTTAGTTCCGTATTAGTAAGGATGAGGTCGGCAGCAGGGTGGTAGTGTGGGCACGGTGGGTCGCAGTGTGGGCAGGGTCGTAGTGTGGATACTGGTGGAGTAGCGGAAGTGTGGAGCAGTAAGGAGGCAGTCTGGGACCTAGGATGACTGACCACCTCACAAATGGCAGAATTAGGTCGGCTGGGCGGGGGGGTTGAAGGAGGACCTAGCCTAGTGTGATGTTGCCTCGCCCTGCTCCTGCTACCCGCCACCACCAGAAGTACAATTGTATCAAGCTTATCACCACAACCAGTAGTATAAACAGCAGCAGTATTGCCCCACGACCACCAGCAGTAACACCACAAGACTTGGTTCAGAACATCCATGGGTTATGTTCCTTGTAACGGGATGAAATAACGCGTGTAGACTCTGTAATTTGTACAATATCAACTCTTATTTTGCCTGTCGAATTCTGTGATTAAATTTGTATTAGACATTTGGTTGCGGTCTCTCTTATCTCCGGTGTAAAGAAGGATTTAACGAATATTTAAATCTAGCATTGCACCACCCCTGCTGTCACCACGCTACACCTCACGCCCATGTTGCTGTTCTAACCTCCACAGCACGTACGGTTGTGCTCTGGCCTTTGGGGAAACTCGCGCTAGTGCTTACTCGAAATATTCCTCCACTGGATTTCTCATAACTGCCCACCTCGGTAGTCTCTGGGTGTCGCATCTCGCTCACTACACCAGATAAAATTACAGGATACGGGATAATAATTTTCTGTGTGTATTTTTGTTCTACCGGTCATGTTGTTTACAGTGGGAAATAAACGAACGCTAAGTAAATCCGAGTTTCATAAGGCTTGTTGTGCGGAGTGACTTGGCAACCTCGCAGATCGATAAACGTGATGAGCTTGTGTGTGCCCCCTGGTGTATCGCTGTTTGTTTATGTATGCTTGAGTGTTTCTCGTTGTTACACTGAAAATATAATTGTATTCAAATATATACAATTACCATTTGGTAATTTTAGCTTTAGTTCGGGGAAGACCAACTCTGCCGGTGAGCGGGGAGTAGCACACCTGCGATAATTAATGTTAGATCTTTTCTTGAATTGGTAATTAAACAAAAACGTCCTCAAAGTACATTTAGTGCGGGTATACTTCATGCAGAATGTAGGAACAATTTCAGTGTTTCTGTAAATGATTTCAGAGTGCTTGTTAAGGAAGAGCTCCCGAGTTCCACTTGGCTAGGCGTGTACGTTAATTAGCGCCAACTGAAGGGTTAAGCGAATCACACTGCCGATTTTAAGTGATGAGACAATCCTGTTACTGCCTGTGCTCCTGGCTCGGGAAAAATTCATAAATGATTTGAAGGAAAATGAAGCTAATGATGGCAAGGTTTTCGAATTTTACTTTATTTTCATTTTTTTTTTTTTTATGCCGCTGCGGGCGGTGGCGTAATAGAGAGGTAGCCTGTCCACAAATGGGCGGCTAAACTCGGGACTATGTGTTGCGTTGTCCAGGGCGAGGCAGCTCAGTGCTGGCCAGTTGTGTTGACATCACATTATCTGCCTACCATGACGGTGGAGGAAATGTTGACATGTACCGGTGTGTTTTGTCCACACACACACACACACACACACGTACACTTGTTTTATTAGATTTAAACGAATAGATATGTAATTGAATGGGTTTAGAATTCATCAAGATTTATTAAGTGCATATTTCAGTATTTTTCTCCTACACCTGGTCATCAGAGGAGCAACAAAGAAGAGCTGCTGCAGCGAGCTCTTTTATCAAGTTAGATTACTTACGACATCCTACATTATCTTATAAAAGTTTGTTGCTCCTTAGTCACACTTTTTACGCCAAACACTCTGCCCAAGTTTGGCAACATAACATAAAGTCCAAAATTCATGCCGTGGCCGTCGTTAAGTTAGCACCTCTCCTGAAAACAGTTAGTGTTACATATTACCTTATAATTTAGCTGGTGTGTGTTGCCTCGGGCTGCGCTTCAAGTTGCAAGGCTCGCTAATTTACCTCCAACAGATTTAAGTCGGTGCATATATTAGTGGAACTTTAATGTAGTAGGCTAACAAAACGCTTAGTACAAGTTTCCCGTTTTAGTAGAGCCTGTTAGACCAGAGGGTAATGTAGTACTAGGAAACTTTGTATGATGAGTACTTGGGAAAGATCGTCACTAAGTATTTTATTAAAAGTTTGATACCGAATACTCTGAAAATGCAATTATTTTACGTGGTTTCATGTTTAATTTTATATAACTATCCTTATTATCGATTATGGATCTTGACCACGGAAATGGATACAAGCCAGATAGGCGAAGTCGATACTGGTCGTGTGAAGCTCAGAGCGATACGCAGAGACCGATGGAAGACTAATCTTTATATCATGTGGAAGACCAAGTGAGAAAAAAAAACGACAAAATGCTGGTGCGACGCCACCTTTAGAATAGTTGGTACTCGGGGTGTTGGCGGTGTTTTGAATGTTATGATAACCTTTACCAGAATGACATTAATAGGCATATAGCAGTAGCTGTAACGGCTTTGAGTACTCGCGGCCTGACGGTGCCGACCATACAATTCCTACATTCTCTCGGAAAAGTTGAGCAAGTACTATCAAAAACTGTCTAAACCTGCTCGTGTCTTAGTGAGGCGCGCCATTTTGCAGCACAGTTGACAACTACTGTCCTCTCTAATGGGTGGGAAAAGCCATAGCCAGACGATATAGGCTATACAATATCCGTATTCTATAGAAAAAAAAATCGAAGAATTGTTGTCATTGTACCAACTAAACGCAGTCATGTCTTTGTGTGGTGCGGCCATCGTATTGTTGAGTTTGTTTGTTTTAATAACTTTTTTTGTACCGAGGGTTCATTTACACAGAAAGTTATACGTTTTGCTTCTCCAGAATGTATTGTGTAACCATAATTCTTTGTTTATTCAACCAGTATTCATTGTACATTAGCAAATAGTTTTGTATATTTAACCATAATACTTGTTGTGAGCTTTTCCCCTCACCATTGATTGTTCGCTTAGAATTCATTTTACTTTCCCCGCAGGTTATTGTTTGTTACCGAAAGTTGGATGTTTGAATGTTTACCAGCTGATGTTGTTTGTGACTGTGTACTGGTCTTTATTGTTTTATCCATTGTCAGTGTTTGTTTTACGCCAATGACACTGTTAGTTTGTTCATTAGACATTTGACAGTAAGTTTGTAACGTTGTGTTCTAACTATCACACTATTGGTTTGTTCATCATTATCCCTGGACATCATTGGTTTATTTGTGTTTGTATATTTGGATATTTTTTTTTTTAGGACTCCGATATTGGTAGTTGTACTGAACTCTCACACCCACAGAAAAACGACTGAAGTGTATTGGATGAAAATTAATCAGAATGATGAGATCTATCTATTGCGTTTGTTAAAAATCTTGTGTACTTCGTGTCATTATTAGTATGTTTTTGTGTACTCGGTGAATGTTAGTATGGCCTTGTGTACTCGGTGACAGTTTTAGTACGTTCTTGTTTACTTGACATTCACTATCTGTTGAACACACCCTTACTCCTGTTTTTTCTGACAAATGTAAAACCATTAATAATTTTAAATTCCCTTATGATATTGCAAGCATTTACTTACAAAATAAAGTCCTCGTTTGAAATAACATATGGCTTTCTCCACAGAGGATCAATGATCTGAATGAAGATTTCTGTGGCATGGACGTGAATACCCCACTTGGAGGAGAGCAGCCTGTAGAAGGTTTGGCTATCCTCACCTTCCCCACTCGGCTCACTGCTGTAGCTGCCACCTCCACGGAAGTCTACACTGTTGTCTTCCTCGGCACTGCTCTTGGGCACCTCAAGAAGGTAGGTCATGCGTCTGTCTTCTAATTATCATACTTATTACTCATTCCCTTGATTAAATTTTTATCCTTTTCCACTTTATCTCAGTTGATATAAGTTGATGATAAAGTGGTTTACTGTACTTGTTTTGGATTTTTTTTGTTCTAACAGTATTTGTTTGTATAGGTTGTGATTGAGAACCAGAATAATGCACTGGAGTATGATGACATCGTTGTAGACCAAAATTCCCCCGTCAGACAAGATATGCACTTCGATAAGGCTGGTGATCACCTTTACGTCATGACCAGACATAAGGTAAGAACGTCACCTCGCTTAACTCAGCTGGGGTCTCATTATTATCAGAGATCTTGCAGTACTGTTTCCTAGTATGTATCTGGGAGCTGATAGTTCATTTGGTTACATAGCTGGATGTTGATATTATTAGTTGACATTTTTATTGCTGGGTACTGAAGTTCTAGTGAGGATTTATTTTTATTTTATTTATAAGTACTGTACTGGTACATTAATTACCTGACTACAGTACAGTATCTATTAACCAGTAATATGAAACCTTCTACATGATGATTGGCTGTAACAAAGCACTTAATGCTTGCTCTCTAAAAATTAGGAATGTTTGATAAAATTTGTAGTTTTCCCTAATTACATCTACATGTGGGATAAGGTAAATGGAAAAGAAGAAAACATGAGAATACAGTAATACTACAATAGAAATTAGGAAGAACAGCATAAATTCTAATGGAGTACCAATGTTTGAAAGATTTTATGGGTGTGAAGGTCTCGCCTTTCTTTATATCTGAGAGATTATAACTGTTACCAACTCATCCTTTGCTTGCCTCACTGAGTCTCTCACTCTCTCTCTCTCAATAGAATTTTCTATGCTTTGATGACTACACATCTCTTGCATTTTTATATGGAGAGTTACCAGACATTACTTTTATTCTTTGTACAGAACTGCCCTGTACTACACACACTTTGTTTTTAGCAGTTACTTTAATCGTTTTGCTGAAGTTATAAAAAATTATTATTATTACAGATTTCTAAAGTGAAGGCTCAGGAATGTAGCATATATGAAGGATGTAACCAGTGCTTGGGTGCAAGAGACCCCTACTGTGGTTGGTGTTCATTAGAAAACAAGTGTTCATTGCGGCGTGACTGTCGTGATGCCACTCAGGACCCTCAACATTGGGTCAGCTATAAAACTGGCCGCTGCACCACCATAATTCAGGTTATGCCAGGCAAGCTACAGAGGACCACAGCTCGCACAGTGAGTTAAATACAACGTTTTGTCATTCACTTGAAACTCCTTTGTTGACGTATTACAGTACTGTATTGTATAACAGTTGAATATTTCTGATGTGTAGACAATTTTTAATGTAAGTATGATTTAAAAATTACCATATTTTACATGATTTGGTGTGAGGTGTTTTCCCATAGTATTACAGGTGAATAAAGTAAGTACAGTATAATGACTAATTTTGTATTAATACTTTATTTCAACAGCTGTTCCTGACGATTGACAACTTGCCATCAGTTGAGGGGTCTTTGCAGTGTGTGTTTAGTGCCATGGGCAAAGATTTGACAACAGATGCCAAACGCACCTCCCAGGGAGTATCTTGTACAACTCCAAGAAATGATATGTTGCCAGATATACCTCAGAATGAACGTAAGTGATACGTTTACTGTGGGATGTATATGTGTTGAAATTGCACCTGCATGTAAATTCTCCATAAGTAACAAGAAGTTGAACGATAAGTCTTTGTTGGACATATAAACCTTTGATATTTATATTAGAACATTCAACAAATTTATAAAACCTGAAGTGCTGCCACTTTGTATACATACCAGTAAGCATGTTTCTCAGAGTAACCACAGACACACACCAATAGACTAAAGTTAATTTCTTTCACTGTACATACTGCATTACTGATAGCTATCTTATAAATACTCAACAGCATTAAGTTAGAAATTATCTCACTTGCTTCCTGTAGCTGGATACTATATTACTTTTTATGTTATCCTTTTGAAAATTATGACATTCACTTTGCTCCAACTATACGTTTGAGATAACATCAACTTGCTGGTAAAAAGTTGGAATTGTCAGTTGGAATCTTTATGATGTAAAGAAGTTTTGGGATAGTTTCTTGACTCCTGTGTTCTACTGTAGTGTATGTAATGGTTGTATCCTGTGTTGATTAATGTAACTTGAACTTGACTTGCCAGATAATCTACTGAAGAAGGTTCAATATCTCCTGAACAGAGTAAGGTTTATCTGTTCACTTCCACCAAGAACTAGCTCTACAGCATGGATACTCTATATCTAATTGAATGGCATCGACTCTTGGCTACAAAAAAAAATAAATAAAAATATACTTTATGACCTTTAAAGTTGTAAAGCTTCATGAGCCAGAATACTTGTATAGTCGTTCATCAACTTCAATTGCTGGCCCTAATATGGTATTGCTAAGTGGTGGTGATCCATAAATCTTCTTTCACTATAAATAATGGGTGAGCAATGATCCAGGTTGCCTTTTTGAGCCCGAGTCATGTACCCGCATAAACATTCTTTTGGTTCTGTATTTTTTTCCCACACAGCTTCTTAATATTACTAAGCTGATTGTATAATGGCCAAATATTACTGCATGTTGAATGCCAGTGAATTTTGTCTCATATAAAAGGCCGACACTTTTGAGAATAAAACGCCAACTATTCTTATTATTTCAGATCACTTTACGGCCAAGCTGTCAGTACGGAAGTCTGAGGGACCCGAGTTTGTATCCACCAACTTCACCTTCTTTGACTGCAACACATACAGCTCTTGTACAGATTGTGTATCTTCTCCGTTCCCGTGTGATTGGTGTGTTGACGGGCACAGATGTACACATGACTCGGCAGAGAATTGTAGAAATGATGTCTTGGTCAATGGCGTTAAAGTGAGTATTTTCGTTAATGTAAAGCCGAATTTACCATTACTTATATTAACTGTTATATCTAAAAAAAATTTCACTACTAATTGGTGTATGGTAATTGAAGAAGTTAATAAAAATGCTTCAGCTCACCTTAATAAAAAATTTAAAGCTACTTCACCCCCATTCATCTTGCACAGGTATAAACCAAATAATGTAATGATTTTCAGCGTGATGGACCAAGCATTAGGAGTGGACCGGCCTTTTGCCCGCGAATCACATTTGTTGAAAGTCAAGAAATCTTGGTGTCCTCTGGTACAGAAAAGTCCATCAAAGTCAAGGTGGACAATATTGCTGTAAGTATCAAGGTGTTCTATTATTGATTTTGTTAATGTTGCTGTTTTTGTATTTCAGATGTTCTTTGTCTCTCTCTCTCTCTCTCTCTCTCTCTAACCTTTAAGAATGTATTTTCTATGATATATTGAGTCTTTCTTGTCAGTACATCAACTAAGTATTTTTATGACTAACAGAGCTTCTGGAGACACCTGCCATTGCTTATCAAGGGTTCAGTACCTGACAACTGGGGACTTCATGAAAAAATATTTTGCTGCGAGTACGGAGTGCACTGCAACCTATCCACCCACTCAGTCATATGCTGTACTGTAAATTGGGGAATTGTCTAATTTGAGACCCAGTCTGTAGCTCCAAGTAAATGTAAAGTTGAGCTGTATATCTTAAAGTTTTCTATTCTTGGTGTGGATCAAACACAGAGATGACAAGTACGTACTGCATACCGTTCTCTTTATCCGGCTCCAAATATTAACATACTTTATTATACTGATACTCTATAACCATTCACCTGATCTAAAGTGAATCTCCTTAACCATATTTCTAAAGTACAACAATTAAGAATCATTACACTTATACTCCTTGAATCCTTTGAATTTAGATTTTGCCTCAAACCAGACTGCATGGAGTATTCCAGATTCCCTTGGGTCCAGACCCAAATCTAGTTAGATAGCTGCAAAAAAATGTCTGGAATGGACATGCATATGTAATGTTCAAGAGCCAGTCACCCATTGACCAAGTCAGTTGAGAGGCAGAGAGTAATCACATTACTGCAACTGAGCAACTCATTCTTAAAACATCAGGGCATATGGGTTCCTACTCCCCTCAATAGACCTGCTTCCTGTGTATCATGTGTTCTGTAGGGATAATTCTTAAGTAACTCTCAGTGTTACATAGTGCTACACTGCACTCAGTGTGTTAATGCGTCTCCTACAATATGTAAAGAGAAAGGAAATATTGTAAGTTAAAGTATGTGAGTGTCACCATGGCAATGAAATTAGATAATAAAGAATATGAAGGTGTTGATTTTGATTAAGGATTTTGAGCTCAGTACATTCACACCACAGGATATGTATCTATCACACACTTGGCCCCCACAGCTCATCATCATCATCATCATCTCTTAACTTGTGTGATGAATACCGGAGATATAATATTTTGATATATTTATTTATATCTATAATTATGGGGCAAAAGAGTTGTATTTAAAGTTATTCTGCACTAATCCAGACTCCACACATAACTGGACCACCACAGGCTGAATTAATACAATTTGAGGTGTGTGTCTCTCCTCTTATTAGCCTTCCTAAAGGAAATGTTGATTATATCTTAAGGTATCATTAAAACCCAATACTGTACATTACTTTGCTTGCTCCACAATAAATTCTATGCCATACTGTATGGCACTGGGGTACACAATGTTGTACGTACTTGTCTCAATGATTCATGTGCTTCCAACTTTAGGCTGTATTATAGACATTCACTTGAAAAATTATTACTTTCTTCCATTCTTTGTACAGTAGTCCCTTGTTAAGATTATAGACCATAAATGGAGGAGTCAGGTTTGAAGTTCGTTTTTTTTTAGTTGAAAAGAAACGAGAAACCTGAATTCCCACCCCTTCCCTGGAGAAAAGTCTTAAATTGGCAGGGAACTGTGAATAGACTATGATAACCCCACATGGTCGGAGTGGGTTCGATTGAATGAGATGTAAAGGCAAGACTTTGACATGGGCTCCCCTCACTGGTCCCTGATACAACTACCAAATGTATATTTATTTGATTGGGCATGTAGACTGCAGCAGTATATTGTCCAATTGGATAATATGCCTTGCTGCCAACCATTGCTTTCCTTGTTATCAGTGGCTGGTATTGCTTCAGAGATACTGTACATAGTTGTAGTATATCTCATAGTTCTCTTGATTATTTCCTTGGCTATAATTTTTTTTTCTTACTTCAGTTTTCTATTACTGTTAGTGCTAAAGATGCAAATTTTTTATGAAAGATGCTTAAGAATGTGCAGATGGTCTCTACTTATTTGGTTATAGAAACTTATAGGGTAGTATATTTATATGTAATATACATTTTGTATGTTGCATATCGTCCCTCCTCTTGGTGATAGTCATGGAGGATACCTTAAAAAAATATAAGTTTCCTTTAGGTTTACAACATTTTGTCAGGAATTTGAGTCTAAATAACAGTTAATTCCCTACCCCACAATGGAAATGTGGATAAGTTAAATCTTGATAAAATCACACAGGAAAAAGGGAAACAATGGAGAACCCTTTTTCCTGTGTGATTTTATCAAGAATAAATAATCTTGATGGACAATTATTGATAATAAATTCAACTATTACTCACATGTTTATAAAATTTCTTTACAGCAATTCATCACACAAACAAGATTTGTATGCCAATTCAACATTGAAGGACGAGTAACAAGTGTCAATGCCAATCTGTTAAGTGACACAATATACTGTGACAGGATGGAGTTTGCTTACACAACTGCCGCTCCATCTACCAATGCCACTTTTGCTGTCATCTGGGGAGGATCAAAACCCCTTGACAATCCTGACAACATACATGGTAAGTCCTTCATAAACTTTAGATTATTTTTTAGTACAATACAGTGGAACCGAATTCTGTTAATTTTGATATTTCAGAAAATTAAGAGTACAGTATTCAAGCAAGTATTGTACAGTGAAGCCTTACAGCTGGATTGATAACGTGTAAACAATACTAGTTACTGATTTTCTCTATTTGCCTTTTTCTTATACTGTACATGAGTTCTTCTATCAGTTATACATTACATTCATTTGTCCACACAGTCTTAGTTTATCAGTGTCACCTGATGGCAAACAACTGCGGGATGTGCCTGAGTCTACCAGAGCGGTACAGGTGTGGCTGGTGTCAGTCGACAGGCCGATGCGAGGTGCAAGATCAGTGTCTTGGAGGCTCCTGGCTGGACCGTGATCGTACTTGTCCCAACATCAACATCACTGATTTCTTCCCTAAGAGTGGACCCTGGGATGGAGGCACCAATGTTACTATTCAGGGTATGTAAATTTCTTTACCATTGCAGTAGCTTCTGTATATGTATAGTACACTTTACACGAAACACCTCTATTGAGAGCTGTTCAAAATGTAGGTGTAGTACAATACATTGGCATAGTGCGTGCCCTAATGCTGCGTGTGACTGATGTCAACATAATAAGATACTCATATGCTGATGAATGTTTACTGACATATTGCTTTTTTTGTGCATAACTAATTTTACTGCATTGTAATCTTTGTAATTCTGTGGTTTGAATACAAAATTTTAATAAGATACTTAATGCTTTTTGCATGGTACAGTATGTTAGAGTATATTTTGTCAATGTTCTTTGCAGTAAAATGTGTTTTTTGTTTTTCTGCTTTTAATGTTTTTGTCCATTACATTGATTTGGGCTTTGTGCATGTTATTTAGATTATAAGAAACTATAGTCTGGCCTCTCCCACAACAGAATGTCATGTAAACACCCGTGATTTCCATTATTTTAACTCTAGGCTATTAAAATATCTTGTCTCCAGTCAACTCTATAGTTTATTTATATTTATTTTTTAATGATAATACCAGTGTTTGGAAAAATTTTCATTCTTTTATATTAAGCTGTGCTATATCTATGTGCTGCTAACTTTTCTTTAGAGTTAACCATGTTCAAGATATTTTATAATTCCTTTACCACCATAAACCTGTCTTTCCCATTCATAATGTAACCTGCAGTTCTTCAAGTACAGTAAATGCAGGCATCTCCTAGTATCCACAAATTAAAATGCCCCAATGTGTGTAAGACAAACTCCACTAACATACTGTAGTGTCACCTTCATCACTGTTTATATTACTACTGATTTTTTTACTGCTACCTACTGTGGAAAAGGAAGAGGTAGGAAGGTGAGAGTATGGAGTAGAGTGTGTAGGTGAGCAAGAGGTAGGACGTGTGAGGAAGATTGCTTAGATGAGTCATCCATATGGAAAGTAAGAAATAGCTTTTGGATGTGGGAGATAAATGATGTTTTACTGCCCAATCTCTACTGATGAAAAATACAGCACAAGATGTATACATTACTGTATATATATTTTGCAATCAACAATTTAAACAAGTGTTTTAATTAAAATATTTTGAGATGGAGCATTGTCCATAAGAACCTTTTGCTTGGGGCATTTAAAAAATAAGACAAACAGATTAGCTTCCACATTATGTATTAATCATTAATACAGTTCCAAGTCTTGTTATCTATACTGTATTCCACCCTTGATTTATTCAGAGAAAATAAGCCTTTGAAAGTAAGTAGACTAGTGAACACGTTGTGATCAATTCGCTGAGTATGTATTATGGTTTTGGCACTTGTTTTTTAGGCTTTTTTTTTTTAATTTCACAATGACTTCTTCAATGAAAGCTTGGGGAGGGGGGAATGGCTGTCGATGTGTTGCGTGAAAACACTGACCATTTGAACTGCATTCTAAACTCTTAAACCCAAAATGGTTGACTGACACACATGAAGATGGGAGACTATAAAGTACTGTAATAATATTGAAATTTACATAATATTGTTAAGCTGCCTTGACGTAGATAGAATGTCTTGTTACATTTTGCTTTCCAGACTAAAAAAAAATTTACTGTCTTGTCTAACCTAAAGAGTTTAGGTTCTCTCTAATACTGTATCTGTCAAAATTGAGAACTAAAATATCATCACCTCTTCCGTGATTGCATGATTTAGAAACAAATTAAATTTTTTGTATTCTATGAATTTCAGTGCATCTTGCTTGTGTGTATAATTTGACATAGGCTAAACTATATTGAATAGCCTTTGTTCACCTGTGAGATGAAAACATATTAAGACATTATCATATTAATATCACTTATCAAATTAATACTCATGGTACAGTATTAAAAGTTATGAAATTAACAGGTAAGAATTCCATATATTCTTAAACATTTATTTTGTCTCTAAGAATTTTTGGAATACTGTACTGTAAATTTTGTATTGACTGTCGGTGACATAAAAATTGATCATAACTCAGAATTTGCCTCATTTTGGCAAGGGTAGGGGTCCTATTTTTCTGAATTATGGAGTTTTTACTATATATATTAATACCTTTTATGGGACACGATTTTGAACTTACATCCAATTGGCAATAGTCTTATCTGACTTGCCCTAAAAAGTCCTTTACCTATACCAACCCCACCTCATTATTCAAATTTTAGCACTTAGATGTCAGATTCAAATCCAACTCGTAAAGGGCCTTACTAATTACTCATTGTAAGAAGCTTTTACCCCAAGAGATACAAACCACATCCCCCCCCTGCTGCTGAGCCATTTGGCCTTCCTCCCAGTTACTTGATCTACACTTGTTTTGCCCTGCAGTCATTTGACATACAGCCTTTCATCCATAAACAAAACACTAAGTTTCAACAAGCTGGCCCCTGTACAGGTTCTTAATATATATGTATTTACACAACACTTTTCAGGGACTACCACTACCACCACAGCAGTGCCTACTTCTGAACCAATGGAGTCAGAGGTTATGGAGTTAATAGAGAATATGAGTCTCAGCAACAAGAAATTGGGGGAACTTACTGTATATGAACTGAATGCTTTAATGGAAGTCTTCTTTGCAAAATTCAAAGAAGAAATCATGGCAGAAGTTGAAAGACTCCAACGAGAAATTAACTTTCTCGAGAACAAGGTTGACCCATGGAGGAGTGGAAATTATCTGTAAACTATTGATGATGAGGATGACTTTGAAGGGCGAACATTATGATAAAATAATCTACTAACAGCATTTTTAGCAGCACGCGACCCACATTTGATTAAGCGTACAATAATTTAGGGATTTTTTTCAGTACAGTACTGAGGACATACTGTCTTTTACATTCATTGTTATTGAGACCAGAGGTCTTTGGTGTTGATATTTTGTAGTTTTTGAAATCTTTTCATTTTCATACCACAAGTAGAAATTTGATATACAGTACTGTACTGTACTTTAGAATTTGTCAGAATCTTCATTCCTTTTATTTACTTAATGATTGACTAACTTTTGAAAATTGTGTTCAGTAAACCTTATATTTCCCAGACATATTGGGGGAGATTAAGTTTAGCATAAAAGAAGTGTTCATTAAGAAATACACGAGCGTTATCAACGGAAATTTGATTGAAGTTTATTAGGAACCACACCAGCAATACTTTTTGTTTGAGGTAAAACTAAATGACTCATCTCTGGATATATTTTGTTGGCACACTTTAAACTGGAAGGCATCTTTATAAAACTTGCATATTTTACCTTATAGAATACTACACAGTTTACCTTTATCTTTTATGGTGAAGTAAATCCTTCAAAAATTCAGGGTAAAACTTTTTTATGTATAGCTGTGTGGCATCTGCACCCTCGTTGCCTTAACTATTGGAATTTCAGGCAGTTAGAATTTAGTTCTTGAAATCTGGGGAAAAGATTATACAGTATTTTTATTTTCACCACAAACGTTTATTACCTTAAAAGGACCAGGATACTGAACAGTTCTCAGATAGAAGGTCCAGGAAATAGGATTTACTGTAACTATTCATAATGCAAATAAGAAGCGTGTTCACTCATATTATGTTGTGGTGATATGTTAATTTTTATGAGTTAGTCGTTTACTCTGTACCGTGCATGGTCAAGTAGGGAATAGTTCAGTCGGGTGAACTTACATCATGAAGTTGAGGGCAGGATTGAATCAAGGCAGAGTTTCCCCAAACTTTAGATCGCAGTTTACCCCACACCAGGTGTTAATGAAAACCTTGTATACTGCTTAAATACCTGACTGTAAACCCGGAGAGTCATGCAGATATTTTATAATTCTGCAGCTTCGTTTTGATTTTGTTAGCATATAAAACTTATGATAGAATTACCATAGTATTATAATTATCTTAGTTCCAGGTATTACTGTGTGGTACTGTACTTATTACTTTTGAACAGTTGTCAAGTCAGTCAGGTGACAACTCCAAGATACAAAACTAAATCTTGGTATGAGCAAATCGTGTAGAGTACAGTATATAGTAAATTTTGACTTGTAAAAAAAAAACTTGCCTAATTTTGAGTTGACTAGGCATCTTTTTGTACTTTGGTGGTGAAGGCTCTTTAAGGGAAAACATCTTAACTGAAATACCCCAAATTCTCTTCCTTGGTTTCTGGATATCTATTTACATCAAGATGGCCAGACTTTGACACTATTCTTTGGTTTCCTTTATGTACAGTACAGTATCTATTTGTGTAGTATAGTAATCCCACTACTGGTGATGTTGCCCCTTTGCCAGACAGAACTGCAAAGTGAACAATATGGTTATGATTGCTGACAAAGGGAAGGTGCATTATGCTTGTGAGAGTCTCCTAGCACTTGTGTTTATGATCATTATTATTACCGGTATACTCTGTACTGTATAGAGTTTCAGAATTGGATCCTCAGTAATGCATGCATTTTTTTCATTCTTGTATATTGTAGAAGCTTTTATAAAAGATTCAGTTTTGGGGTAGAAACGTATGAGGGATAACAATACAGTTTACAGATAGTCGCATATTTAAAACTCCTCTCCAAATTTTAATCTAGGTAAGTAAATATATTTCCTGACCATAGCTCTCATTTACACCAAAAAAAAATTCAGTATTGTCGCTATAATTGACTTTTAACATTGTACAGTAACCAGTCGCTCTATATGGACACTTAAAAAGTTCTGCTTGGTAATCCTGATAGCAAAGGTAATTCTCAGAACTGAAGACGATACTCCTAACAATTATCACAACTCAATATAGTCCTTATAAGGTAATCATAACAGCTAAATTTACATGCCAGGAAGCTATCTCGACCAGTAATGAAAGTTAAAGTAGGGTAACATTGCCAGTAGATCCTTTAATAAGAGTTAAGTGAAAAACCTAACCCAAGTGTAGTATAGAGATTCATTTACTCCTTTACTAATTTCATGGTTTCATGGTATAATAAATTTTAAGAAGCAAGTATATTAGTTTTGCTTTCCTATTAGTAACATTATGCAAACTATTCCTGTACATGTGTTTCAGAAACTGTGTACTGTATCGTAGTTATTTATGTCTTTTGTTTGTTAATCCTTTAATTAATTTTCATGCATACAGTACAGTAAATGTAATTTTTGCGTTTAGGAGAGTAGTAATTTTTTCATGGGCATTTCTTCCTGGTCCTCTTACAACATGACTTAATGTGCTTTAGCTAATAAAAGAAGGAATTGTATCATATTTAGACTTTCAAATTTTATTATAGCTAAAACATAGAGAATGTAATCCCATATGCCATCACAAGGTCAACTACCAAAAGACAGTCGGCATCTTTCAATAATCCAAGTTTAACAAGACTGATATTTACTCATATGTGATGTAGAGTAATGTACAGTACAGACTGTAGATGGTTTTAGCTTTAAATATGAATTACTGCCTTCCTTTACTTTAAAGAATTATTCTCAGCATTACATACATAATAAATGGTCTGATAACTACACTGTATATTGTATGTAAATCATGTCTCACACACATTGGAGGCTTCACTTATGCATCCTTCATCCTTTCATGACATAATTCTGTTATTGAACATTTTGAGTCTATAAATATTTGTATATTTAATTTGATGTACCAAAATTATGTACTGGTAACTGATGTACTGTATAGTAGACCCCCAATTTAACAAAATTCAATTCAACGCTTGATGCATCACAGCACAGCACAGCACAGTACAGTACAGTACAGTACAGTACCCTGTCATGCTCCCATTTTTTCTATTTAGTGCAGTCAATTATGATTTTGTGCAGTGTAAACCCAAAGCTCAGTCATAGAAAAGAAAAATTAATGAAAAATGTGAAAATGTCAGAACTTGTAATAAATAGTGAGACACTCTGAACAAACTTTTGGGGGATTGTTTTTAACGAAATAAGAGGAAATTTTCATAAGTGACATAAAGCATCCAGAAATGTTAAGGTTTTTGAAAAAGAAAGAGGGGGGGGGGGGGCAAAAACTTATGTTAAAGCATGAGTGTAGAACTCGAGTTATATCTTCAGCTTGTACCTCCTTTCAAATTGCTCAAACACATCACATCTAAAATATGTATTTTTTTTATCTCTTTATACATGACCATCATTCTTTATTTATATTTGACACTGTTCTGGTGTATGAGTAAGCTGCATAGGTATGTTGAAACTTGACTGGCTAGCGGCATCATCTTAACAGCTCATGTACACTTCCTAACAACTCAAGTCCTATTACTCCTTCATTCATCTCGAGTTTGAACAATTGTCGTCCAGGTAGCAGTTCAGACAAAAAAAAAAGATGGAATTAGTATTGAAGTAAGAAAAGGGGTCTTAGGAATTTTTTGGTGCATGCATGATTTGAGTCTGTGATCCCATGCCCTATATTTTTCCACTGAAATACATTGACCAATTTAAAATGTTTCAGTTTTGCATGATAATTCCTTGTCCCACTCTCACGCTAAATCTGGGGTCTACTATACTAATTGCATCATGAATGTAGTTTGCAAGCACTGTATGATTATATTAAGCAACTTTCTGTATTGGTTTTGTCCAAGAGTGGCACTGCTCTCTACACTGGCACCCTTGTTATGTTTTGTTGCTTCCACCTTGAATTTTATGTCTGAAATATCATATCAAGTTTGATTTATATTTGATAATTTCATAAAAAAAATAAATAATCTTCATTGAGTGAATTTGTACAATGAGTTCAGGTGACTATCATGCTACATATGTACAGTACTATATTAGGTTGGATAAAAGCTTCAGTAACTCATTTTCCTACTGATTGCGTGGTGTGTGTGTTTAATAATGTTGAGCATATGTTTTCTTCCTTCTCATGTGGTTCTACATACAAACAGCAGCATCTTCTGATTTGTTGGGTAGAGCCTCAACTAATTAAGTCATTAGCTTGCCACATTGAAATATTGGTTCAGTAACCTTAGTTATATAACATTATTCAACAAAATCAGGTCATTCTTATCAAACTAAGGCCTCAGGAATTTATTATTATTGTAGTGCCATAGTGTTATGCAAGATATTGCTAGATTATTGTATTGTACAAGATGTTAATGAAGGTTCCAACTGTGTATTGTTAGTTACTTATGAATACTTCATAATAGAAATACTGTACCATATGCACAAAAGGACAGATCACTAACATTACTTATAATTTCCAGTTTAACTCCCAGATATTGTGTGGAAAGTACTGTACAAGGACAATATGCATGGTCTGTTCATTGAAAGCATCCATTCCTTCTTTTACATGCATAGCACCAATTTAATTCAAATTTCTGGCTGCTGTAGATGACTAACCTTGCATGATACTTTTCAGGCATCAATTTGGGAAAGCACATTGATGATATCTATGACGGAATCACTGTGGCAGGAATTACCTGTCAACCATACCGCAAGTCATACATCAAGACCAAACAGGTCACCTGTATGGTGGACAGTCCAGGCGTCAATGACTTCAAGGAGGGACCCATTGTTGTAAAGGTAAATAAGGAATTTTTAAATATTTTGTTTCCAATTTATTTGGAAGCTGACAGACAGAGAGCTTGCTTGTTCAAATAAAAAATACAGTACAGTACTTGTTTACAGCCTCACAGATGTTACCTTGAAGTAGGAACTCGACTTTTGACACAAGTTAGGGTTTAGGATGCCCGAGACATAATGGTAGACGGTTTACTGTGAGAATTTAACCCATCAATTTATGTTTTATATGGAAGGAAGAAGTTATCAGGAGGGAACTAGTTAGAGAAACATCAGAGAGAGGGAATTTCTGATAGGAACCCTTCAGCTGGTAGAAGTGACTGGGGTGAGTTTTATAGTTGAGTGAGCAGACTTTTCTTTGTATTTCGGAACCACGTACATTGTAGAATCTACAGTAAGTGATAAATGGCTGTGTCTCTTAAGTGGCTTGACTGCAGTACAGTATGCACACTTCTTTAAATAGTTAGATATGTAATGCAATTATAATAATAGGTCAACCCTCACTCATCCGGGCGAGTCCCACCACCCCACTCATGGCACCATGTGGCTCGGTTCTCGTTCATCTTTCCACTCATGTAGAGCTCTAACATCTATCTTATTTTTTCCTCCTTTCTTGCACTGAAATTTCTGTCATGATTCATCTATTTGGATTTGACCATTTTCCTTTATGTCAGTCATATTCCAGATGCCTTGTACAGTAAAGTCATGGGATAGTTATTCGACCCTCTAGATATGATTTCCTCTTCCTTCAAACCCCTCTGGCTTTCTTTTTAGGTTGTTAATCAAAATTAAGATTGATGGATACATTGAAATTAATCACCCTATCAAATCCCAATTCTTTTTACAGGTGGCTCGAGAATACAGAGGGGAGTCATTGGAGAAATACAGCTTCGTTAACCCAGAGATCACGGACCTAACACCAGATTCTGGGCCAAGATCTGGCGGTACTCTTCTGCACATACTCGGTAAACACATGAATGCAGGCAGTCGTATTGAGGCCTTCATTAGTGGACGACCATGCAAGATTCAAAGGTAATTTCCTCAGACTAACATTTTTGGACAATGTTGAGTTATTTGAAAAACTTTGGCACACAAAAATGGATGCATGCAGTAATACTTAGTACAAGCAGTAGGTGTTGATTCAAATAATAATAGAAAGTAACCATTGACTCTCATATTATTAAAAAAAGACAATGAATAACATATTTCCAGTAATATTGGATTATAATTAAATAGGTATTTTATACAATACAGTACTGTATTATAAAGACTTCATTCTACTTTCTCCATCTCCAGCACAAATGAAACCGTGGCAACGTGTATCACCTCGGCATCATCTGATCTCCAAGAAAAAGAAATTGAAATGGTTTTTGATAATGGTCGTAGAAGACTAGAAGGGAAATATTTCACCTACGTCAGTGACCCAACAATTCACACAGTCAAGTCTGGGAGAGCTGGACAAGCAGGAATGGTAAGTTCATTAAACTCTTATGAGTTACTGTATTATAAAGTTTTTATGTATGATTATTGGATTGGATTTAGAGAAAAAAATGGGGGGCAGCTATACCACTTAGATACTACTGTATAGTATTTTTTAGGATATCACATCTGAACCTCAGTTTGCATGCATCTGGATAGATTTGGAATGTTCACCTTAGATTTGCATCCTTTTTCTCACACTTGTGTTAAACACCACTTATGGGACATTGCACATATTAAGCAATAATTTTTACTGTAAGAATGTTTTGCAGAGTGCAGTATTATTTTAAGGATTCTGCAAGACCTCCTATCATCATTAGTTTGTGTGTGTGTTTCATGAAATAAAAATGCATTGTTAGTGTTTCCTCCAATTCTGAAAACTCCTGAATGTAAATGATGAGTATTGTATTGTGCTGAAAAGTGATGTTAATCTTCATCATTTCAGCATCATAAGAATTTGATTGCACGTTGATATTCTCAAAACCTTAAATGGTGATGTTGTTCTTTTCAGCGCAATGGTCCCCGTGGCATTCCATCTGGGGGCATCATCATCACAGTTGATGGGACAAATTTTGATGTTATTAGGGAGCCCAAAATGTATGTTGTGTACAGGGAGAAGGAATATGCAAGTGTAAGTAAACAAGCCAAGTTCCTGGCCCGTGGTTCAGAATCAACACTTTATAATAAAGTATTTGTTCAACACTTTATGTCTGATTTTAGTGTTGCAGATATACTGTATTTCATAAACTTTTGTGCATAATTTTTCAAGTCTGAAAAGTAGTACAGTACTATACATCATATATATTGTGTGTGAAGGTATATAACATTTATTTTATAATTTGTACAGTCTTGTGAAGTGAAAAATTCTACAAGAATGGAATGCAAGTCACCAAAAATAGCAGTCGCGGGCAATGAGCGTATAGACAATGAAAACGGGCTGAAGCTGGGCTATGGCTTTATCATGGATCATGTAAAATCGGTTCGAAATCTCAACCTAGGAACATTTGCATCTTTTCTTGTTTACCCCAATCCAGTTTACTATGCCTTTGAAGATTCTAAGGTAAGAAAATGGGAATAAATTTGTGGATTGTTCTTATTGAACTGCCTCACATATTTGTGGGTTATACATGTATTTTTGGTGATAATATGTTGTAAGTAGTGATTAGTCACTACACTAATATATATATATATATATATATATATATATATATATATATATATATATATATATATATATATATATATATATATATATATATATATATATATATATATATATATATATATATATATACACACACTTAATTGCATCATGATCTTATGCTTACAGGTCAAGCAGTACAAGTCAGATTATCTTACTATCAATGGTAAGAATCTGGACCGAGCATCCCAGGAGATTGATGTACAAGTTCTCATTGGTATGGAGTCTTGTAACGTGACATCTCTCTCAAGATCACAACTAACCTGCCGGCCCCCTAAAGAGCAACCTGCACCTTTGGATGGACATGATCTTCCTCAAGTTGTAGTAAGTATTTCCAAAAAGTATATCTTTGTTTTGTAAAGTGATTTTGGTTTACAGTGTGATACATTTAAGGTTTTTACACACACACTTAGTCTTTATGAACTACTTATACTTAGAGTTATGATTGCTTACTCTGAAAAATTTTTTCCAGGTAATTGTTGGCAACAACCTCAGAACTGAAATTGGTTTCTTGAAATATGCAAGTACCACAGATGTTGGCACACTTTCTAAACAGCTGATCATCGGGCTGTCTGTGGGTGCAGTGGTCTTGATTCTCATCTTGGTAGTCTGCCTAATAGTTTACCGCCAGAAGAGCAACCAGAACTCTCGTGTTCTCAAAAGCATGCAAGAACAGATGGATGTTCTTGAACTCAGAGTTGCAGCTGAATGCAAAGAAGGTATGCCCATCATTTTATAAACATGAAACTACTGGTATATTCTGGTTGATTGGTAGGGAAAATATTTTTACATTTAATCTAACTATAATTTAGTTTAGGTGACTTCATCACTCCTCCGACATGTTGTTAGCAGTCCTCCTTCAGAGCCTCCCCTACAATATTTTAATTATTTAATAAATAATCTTACAGTATTAATCTATGAGTGGTGTAATAATATGTAAAGGGTTTAAGAAAATGTAAATATAGATTGTGACCGTAAGTACAGAACTTTTTGTTTATATCAGTATAGGTTGTTAATTCTTTGAAGAAGTTTAATTCTGGATAGTCTTGAATAGCAGTTGTATGTACATCCGACTTACAAATTGTGAATTTCAGCATTTGCTGAGCTGCAGACAGAGATGACAGACTTAACAAGTGATCTGATTGGTGGAGGAATTCCGTTCTTGGAATACCGCACATATGCCATGAAGATCCTTTTCCCCAATCTGGAGGAGACCACTGTGTTACAGATGGACCGGCCAGACCTTGTTCGCAAGGAAAAGGGCCTCAAGCTCTTTGGTCAACTTATTATGAACAAGACGTTCTTATTACTATTTATTCGCACATTGGAAGCCAATAGATATTTCTCTATGAGAGACAGGTGAGATATCCATAAACATTTCATAAGTAGAACTCTGTATGTCTTAATTTCTCTCCAGAAAGTTTTTCCTCTCCATAATTTGTGTATACCAGTTCTGAGTGTTATATACAGTAATTTCCTAATGGCCACAAGTATAACTGGACAAAAAAAATTCATACATTCCTATCATTTCCTTACAACATTTTTCCTTGCAGAGTGAATGTTGCTGCCCTTATAATGGTGGCACTACAAGGTAAAATGGAATATTGTTCAGATATTCTCAAGACACTTTTGGCTGAACTTATAGAAAAATGCATTGAAGGAAAGATACACCCTAAACTTCTATTCAGAAGGTAAGTACTGTATTCATGGACCTTGGCCTTTCTACCTACTCATTTGCAAACAATACACTTGCAATACTAGTTTTTGGTGCTAAAAAAATAAACCATGCAGTGTTGCATCTATGCACCGTTAACCTGTGTAAAGCAAGGAACAATTGTGTTTGATTTTTAATGTGATAACTGAATTAAAATATAATTTTTCTTCTTAGAAGGAGTCATAATACTGCAATGTGAAATATCAAGTTCTTAAATAAAACCCTTATTAAAAAACAGACTTAGATATTTCTTTTTATGAAATTTAAATATACATTTGCTGTACCATAGTAAAGAGTTTGTGTTGACATACTGTAACAAGTTATTTCCCCACCACAGAACGGAGAGTGTAGCGGAGAAGATGCTATCATCGTGGTTCACGTTCTTGCTGTACAAGTTTTTGAAGGAGTGTGCCGGTGAGCCACTCTACATGCTGTTCCGTGCCATCAAGCAGCAAGTGGATAAGGGCCCTGTGGATGCTGTCACCTCAGAAGCCAGATATTCCCTATCAGAAGAGAAACTTATTCGCCAGAGTATTGATTTTAAAGAAATGGTAAACAAAATTTCAAAACCATTTATCTTTGATAAAACATTGAAATCAGAAGAAAAAATCACAAGTTTACCAATGAAGATATTTGTCTGTATTTGTATGTTTATATTTGTATGTTATGTCTTGTCCAACTACTATTAATTTTTTTATTTTACCTGTAATTACAAAACCTTGGCTCTTGCAGACTGTATATGTATCCATGTGTAATTTGTACATGGGTGCAGTTGATGGGCCTATGGAGAGTGGAGAAACCCCAGTCAAGGTCCTGGACTGTGACACAATCTCTCAAGTGAAGGAAAAATCCCTTGATGCCATATACCGATCATACCCTTACTCACAGCGTCCACGAAGGGAAGATCTGGATCTTGAGTGGCGCACAGGTGCCTCAGGTAAGTTGTGCTCTGGAAGAGTCCTTGATAAATCATGCAATTAAAGTAAATTCAGATTTATGCTCACAGTAGTTTTCATGACATTTTTAGAGTTTCCCTCCAGAGTTTAATATTAGTTCAGCACTCATTTTTCCAGAATTTTGAAATGAACAATGAATTGTTGCTGTTCAATATACATACTGTAAATCGTATACAGTGACCCCTCGGTTAACGAACTCAATCCGTTCCAGAAGGTCGTTCGTTAACCGAAACCATTGTTTCAATGGTTTTTTGGGTAATTGGTTCCAGCCCACCGAAAATTTCCTAAATTCAACAAAAATGGTAGAAAAGTTAACTTACTTTGAGGTGTGTATGTAGAAGGCTCCTGGATGATGATGATGATGATGATGATGATGATGGGATTTAGAATGGGGATGGAGGAGAAGGAAGAAGAGAAGGCATTGGGGTGGAAGAGAAGTCACCCCATGGCACCATTTCACCCATAAAATTTTAGCTCTCTTGGTGTAATTCAAGATTATTTTCGTTAAATCAACACTGCACTGCATTATATATTGTCAATATGTAAAATATATTTCAAAATGACCAATAATTTGCTTGGAAACACAGAAAAAAGCGTTTAGTTGAAGAGAGTCTCAAGCAAGATGTTACCTCCAGTGAAAACAGAGAGAGACTAACTCCTGTTTGCTGTGTTAAGAGGCTGGATGCCGCATTAAACTAGTCACTTTACCTTCAATTATGTTCAATAATTGTTAAAATGACTAAAAATTTAATATTAAACTTTTAAAATTATTGAATAGTATAAACTTGATATTTACTAAAATAGTAAGGAATTTAAGCCCTAGAACCGATTAATGTATTGGCGGACTGATACTAAAGCTGGTTGCCCGGTCAGTGCAAGCGAAAACATGTTGAGGTCGGTTCGTAAGAAATTCGTTAACCGAATTTTTGTTCGTTAACCGAATTGAAGATCCTTATGGAAGGCAGTTCGTTAACCGAAATTTCATTAACCGAGGCGTTCGTTAAACGAGAGGTCACTGTATGTTGAAGTAAGTTGTCGGTGACCAAAGGTGTTTTGGTATATATTACTGTATGGAAGATACTTTGTTAGTTTCTTCCCTCAGAAATGTTTGAGAGTGAAATTAGACTTACAAAATTAGGTCTTTACTATTTAACTTAATTTGCACCGACAACATGAACTGTAACTATAGTGAACTCGTGCGGCTATAAACGTGCACATTCATTCACGACGGCACTGCTTGTCACAGGAGCTGTCAACATATTGTATACATGATACATAAGCAATATACAGTAACTGTTTAGACATGCAATACTGTACACTAATAATATACATTTTTTTACAGGTCGACTCATCCTTTATGATGAAGACACCACAACTCGGCCTGAGGGAGGCTGGAAGAAATTAAATACTCTTGCTCATTACAATGTTCCTGATTTGGCCCAATTAACTCTCATACCTAAACAGTCATCTATATATAATTATATGTCAATTCTTTCTGATAAATCTGACAAATCACATCACAAGTATGAAACATTAAATATGAACAAATACACCTCAGCCAGTCCGCCCCTCTCGCGAGCCACGTCACCCCTTAACCATGATAATGAAGCAGGGGTTAAGGTAGGAGCAAAGGTCTGTTTCACCACAAGGCAGGTTAGAGCCAAGTCTTATTTTTTTCGTTTTTGAGTGTTCTTTTCTTTTGTCTGATCATGTTTGTTTTTCTGACCATGCTTGACTATATTTTGAGTGTTTCATGGTGTATACAGTGTGGATGTGGTGGTTATTAGTTATAGCTTGAATGATTCTGTTTTATACTTACAAAAAGCAATGGAAAGAAATTAAATTAGTGCAATGTTTAGTAATGTAAGACAGGATATTACTGCTCAGCTTGTCAATGAAATTATATTTATTTTCTACTCCATTTTCAAACTTAACAATCTGTTTAAAACTTCTTCTCAGACACATTTCAGTCAGAAACATCCCAGCATGTTGACTCACACACATGCAGCCAGTTGCATTTTTACAAGATATTATAATTTTCTTGAATTTCACATATACTGTACTGTACACTGGTGTTACTTTCAGCAGTGCCATTCATGCCACAGGAACAAGAAAATAGATTTCACCTTTAATAGTTTATTTACTTGGTGTTGAGTAATAGTTCCATTAACAAATTAATCTCATGTCTTCCTCATACTTATTTTTTAATGGTGATATGTTCCATGACTCCTGTTTTATAGTCTTGATATTCCATACATCATCCTGTTCCAGTCTTGATGTTCTATACATCTTCACATTTTACACTATCCTCCAGTTCTGTTATCATCTTCCACACACTGGCATCCTACTTTTCACTGCTGTCTTGCTCCATATAATCTCCAGAACAATATTGCATCAAATAACAAATGAAATTAGACCCGATGTGCAAATATTTCCACAAATACGGAATTCTTACAATAATTCTTCACTTTTGTCCAGTCAGTATTAAAGTCTTCATAGATATTATCAAAACAGTTGTCATAGAATAATACTTCCCTCCCCCCCTCCTCCTCCTTTTCTTGTAGTATGGAAAATTTAAATTGTGGAATGAGAGAAGAATTTGGATGTTTCAGCAATTGAATTTCCCCTGAAGCTAGTACAGTACAGTAGTTATATAAGAGGATGGTTTTTGGCAGTTAGACCTCATTGAATAGACTACAGTACACATTTCCCCCATTTCATTAGAGGTTACTAAACAAAAGTAGAATGTTTTGTCTTCTGGCTCTGTGTATTATTAGGAGTGCAGTATTATAATCCGTGATCCTTTATTCCATTAAAATAGGGTTGAGAGTAAAGCTGATGATTGATTATGAAGAAAACAGGAAGGATATAATTGTCAGAAGTGGCTTCACCTCCATCTTGTTTTTAGTCACTTCTTTTAACACATAGGTGTAGCCTGTTCTCTGGGCTGAATTCCAAAACCCAGACTTGTCTTTGAGGTATTTCTTTCCCTAGATGTTCTCTCTACATGTGGGAGCAGAGATTGATAATGGCTATATAGATAGAATGATAAAGCAATAAAAGTGTACTGTATCATGTATTAATTTAGGATGTAAGAGATAGTGATATATTTCTGAATTGCTTCATAATTTGTTTTCTAAGAGAAGTGAACCAACTTTGAGAGGATTGACCCATAGTGAGTATATTCTCCCCCCCCCCCCCATTTTCTCTCCACAGTACAATAATGATTTATAAGGATGTTAAAGTACTAGGTCATCTGTTGCCAGAATTTTTTACCCAGTTTTACCCTTGACTGATCAGCTAATTTGCCATTTTTTCTCTGACATCACTCACGATACCTTGATGACTTATTCCAGGTTTGTGAGTATTTGTAAATTTTTCACACGCCATATACAGGAGTACAGTATTTGTCACAAACTGCCTCAGTGAACCCTGGTCAGAAAGCTCAGTCAGGATACAGAAACAGTCTTCCATACTTACAAACTTCTGACTCCATGATACAATTAGGGTGTTTATGTTGTGAATTAGTCTTCTCTTGCCTCCATGATACAAGTTTGGTGTTTTAGTGTGTTGTGAATGTTATGACTCTGTGGTTCTTGATGGACTGGGATTATAAATAGCTTGAAAAGAATAATTTTGCAAAGTGCATTTCTTCCCAATTATCACACTAATGAGGAGTGAATAGGGTAAGAATAGTATCGCATATTGTATTTATTTCTTCTTTTAAGTTTTATTATCAATACTTTGTTTCATTAACTCTGAAAATTATTAAATTGAACAAAAACTTCATATAGCTGTTTTTGTTTTTTATTCACTCACTTTCTCCGGTAAATGAGCTTGCTGCATGACTGTCATTAATGCACTGAATCTGTGCAGCATTTAACTTTACAATTATGAAACGCCACTTAATTTTGTTTTTATTTTATGTTCAGTTGGCGACTAACCTGCACTTGTGTAATTTTATTAAAAAGCAACAGCTACAAAAGTATTAGAGCTCAAGTAAAAAAATAAAATAAAATATTGTGCTTCAGAATGTAAAGAAAAAAGATGCAGGATATTGTATAAACAAGGGGAAACCATAATGGTAGTGAACCAGGCACATGTGTTAATAAATATCTAAAACTTAATTAGGTAACCAATGACTACCCCACTCCTAAGAAAAAACCCATGGGAATTTGTATTTTCCCTTAAAATGCTGCAAAATTGCTCATCCTATATCTGCCTGGCATTTTATGGGAACTAACTCTTATTGAACTAACTGTAGTTAAGTTTTATGAATGTATTTAGCATCTTTTTTACTTCTTTCTGTAGTACTGAATGCTTGTTGTGTACATTAATATAGATGTTGTGCTAAAAGACTGATTATGCTATATTTTATTTACTTGACTTGAGATCCACAATAGAATACTAAGAAATGAGACAGCATTAATGTAGAGTATCAATTAAACTAAATAAATATATGAGGTGTACTTACATGATATGTTTATGTACAGGTGTGGCACTTAGTTCGTCAACAAGAGTCAGAGCAGCGCGAGGGAGAGCGCACTAACAAGATGGTGTCAGAGATCTACCTCACACGTCTGCTCTCCACAAAGCTCACACTACAGAAGTTTGTTGATGACTTGTTTGAGACAATATTCAGCACTGCACATCGTGGCTCTGCTCTGCCACTGGCTATCAAATATATGTTTGATTTCCTTGATGACCAGGCATTACAACATGGCATCACAGACCCTGAGGTAAGGTGCTCGGTGCACACTGTTAAATCTTTCCACCTTATTCCTCTTCCTCTCTATAGTGAAGTATAAAGGGTGTTCCAAAATTCTTTGCTCATAGGCAGAATTCAATGTTCATTATTTCAGCAAATCTTTAAATTGCATGTCATGAACTTGCTTGCAGATAAGCCCTTCTGATTATTTTTTAGTTCCACTGTGTTGACCTTAACACACTCATTCCAAAAGATATTCTTCATCCCATCAATGTATAAGTACCAATTTTTGGGACACCTCTACATCAATATTCTTAAAGTAACTATTATCGTGAACCACTGAGAAATAAGGATGGGGATAGAGTGAAGAATGTGATTACTGTATCATTATAGTTGCTGTAGAAATAAACATACTGTACATTACATGAAAATTATTAGTCTGTGTTTATTAACTGTACTGAAGAAGAAATTTTTAATGTTAGGAAACAAGATTAAAAAAACGTAGAAGCAAGCAAAAATTTTTAAAGATTGAACATTTATTTTGAAAGGAAATGTGTAGTTAAAGTAAATGAGTAAAATAATGATGATGTGGTGGGGTTGAAGAAGAATGGGAGTGATAGAACAGGCGAGGGAGAGAAGGTAAGGGGTGCATTGGTGAATGTTTGAGGAGAGAGAGAACTACCCCGGTATGTCAAGGAGGCTAAGGTGGGGATATATAGGAAAATGTTGAGCTGACATTATTACATTTGTGTAAAGTATGGACTCTGGATACAAGAGGAAGAAGTGACAACGGATATACTGTAGTGCAACGTGTTGGGTGAATAAGGTGCTAAGAAATATGGGGTGTGTGAAACTGAAGGAGTATCAGACACTCGACCAGAATTTGCTAATGTGTTATGGACTTACTAAACCAGGGTGTATACTGGTCTGGAAAAGGCAGGGAATTTTAATTGAGTCTGGAAAACTTAGAAAAGCCAGGGAATCTTACAAATAAACCTGGAATTTTATGTGACATTAGTTCAACTTCAAAATCTTGTTATTTTGACAGCAATCTTGTATAGTAATCCTTAAATTTCCCAATAGTATATACATCTTATTGAAAACCTCTAATTTTGTTATTGTTGTAATAAGTACGGAATTAATATACAGTACCTGGAATTTTTCAAATTTACCCCTGGAAAAGCCAGGAAATTTTGTTTTGTCTGGCCAGTAAACACCCTGTAAGAGAATGAGGAATGAAAGATGGGTAGAAAGACTGTTTTATTCAGATTTGGATAGTTGAAGATAGAGGGGACGACCAAAGAGGTGGAAGGGTGTAGTACAATAGTGGGTATTGAATATGAGGGAGATGAATTATTGAGGAGGCATGTGTTATTGGAGAACATGATTTCAAGATGTGTACTGTATTGGGAAGAGCTTGCTGCAGATGGCTGATACTGGGTTATATTGGCAACAGGTAGAAAACTTATTTCCATCCCTAGCATTGTTCTAGCATTTACAGAGTGAGGGAAGAATGTGTTTTTCTTGATTCTGGACACTTGTTTTATGTGGAAAAAGGCCTTCCATTGGTCTCAAGTTATTAGAATGGCAATTATAAAGAATTGAACTAATCATTTTATTCTATGGCCATAAATAATATGTCTTATGTTATTTCAGGTGGTGCATACTTGGAAAAGCAATAGTCTCCCACTTAGGTTCTGGGTTAATCTTATTAAGAATCCTAACTTTGTGTTTGACATTCACAAGTCCAATATTGTGGATGCCTGTTTATCAGTAGTCGCTCAGACCTTTATGGATTCCTGCTCCACCTCGGATCACAGATTAGGTATGTAATTGCAGTATTATATCATAATACAAGAAAAATATGCTTAAAAATGCTTTATTAATTTATATTCAAATCACTATAGTACTTTTGTTATAAAGTTTATCTTTTTGTCTACTAGGTAAAGATTCTCCAAGTTCTAAATTGCTGTATGCCAAAGATATTCCCATCTACAAAGAGTGGGTGGAACGATATTATGCAGACATCAAGATCATGCAACCCATCTCCGACCAAGACATGAATGCCATGCTAGCGGAGGAGTCACGGGTAAGTCCAGTAAGTAAATATAGGGCTCAGGACTCCCTCAATCATTTTTTATTATGATTTAAGATTTTATTTTTTTATGTGATAAAGGTGTAGCCTCAATAATCTACCATTTTAAAAAAAATGGTTCTCTATGGTAACTGGCAGTTTTTCATTTTCAAAACCCTATTCTCATGAATCTAAAAAACTGGGAAGAATCCAGGAATATATGTCTTGCTGCTTCATTTGTTATGATGCACCAATCAACTGACACTGCCATCTTTCTATTGTAATTTTTACTTAATAGAGTAAACTAGTGATGTCACAGTTGTCATCTTTCAAAGCTCCACAGTTGCAGTCACAGCTGCACGTTTGCATTTGTTTGGTTTAACTTTAAACTTTGATTAATGCTGCAACATGTGTGAACTTTTCAACTTATCTTCCTTTTAATTTTTCCCTGTGAAAAAGCCATAATTTTGAACATCATATTACTCTACTTAAGTTTACAATTTGTACTCAAATGTACTAAGCTAAAGGACTAAAAAAAATTTATCTCTTAGTGCAATCTATGAGATGTTTATACTCAAATTAATCGCTATCTTGCGAGGATTCCAGCATTGCAAGTTGTATTCTGCTAAGTCACTCTGTGATAATTATGCGGTTGCTCCGAAGTTGCGAAGTTTCTTGACTTCACAAGATTAAACCCCCAATATAACGTACGTAGACTTTAATCCCTAAAGACTTTGTCACCGTTCACAAGAACCTACGAGTGAAGACCAGAGCACCTGTATCAAGAACCAAATTCTCCTGGCACTGTTTCAAACCAATTGCGTGGAAAATGTGTGCACTGCATCACAAAGTTTATCATTCACCATTACTGAGAAATGCTGAACTACTACAAAAACAAGGGAGCCTCTGTAAAGATGCTTAGTTAAGAGCATGATGTTAAAACATCAGCAGTTTATGATTTAAAGAAAAGTAGACAATATATTAAACTAATTTACAGACATTGATGCATCAAAAATTATGAGCCAGCATGAAACTACGTAATGCCAGGAATAGACATGCCTAAAGTGGTTTACAAATGGTTCCTTCAGTATTGTAGTTATTACAGTTGATCTTCCATTTGGATAATCTGGGAAATTAAAAAAACTGATGAGGGATAGGTCCCAAGCACATCAGATTACCAGTAAAGTATTGAGGTTACACCTGTAGTTCTGACAATATTGTTTATACCATGTACAATCACAAGAATTTTTTTTTATATAATATATAAACTAGATTGGGTTTTGAACAGTGGGTTCACTTCAGGGCCAAAAACATCATTAGGTTAATGGTGACTAATACCTTGAGTTGTTTAGGATATTATTTCTTCTGTTCTATGACCACTACTGAAACTATGTGATGCCTATCATGCTGATTGGAGAAAATTTTATTTATCATACTGTACAGGATTTCTAAACATTTTAAAAGAATTCACTTGTAATCATATAGCTATAATAAATGTATCAGTCACATGAAAGGAAAGGAAATGGTGTTTACAAATAATGTCCTCTTAATTTTACTTGTAGTCATTATATGGATGTCTGGAGAAACTCTGGTGGCTAATGTACTGTACAGGTACCCAAATTCATTGCCATCTGTAATTTTTGTTTATGCTTGTTAGAAGTTTTGTTATTTTGGATGTACTGGACTAATGTAGATTAATACATATTTTCAGTTCCATGTGAAAAGGTTTTTGGCCCTGAAAAATCACCAATTATGATTTAGTAAATGGAGGACTTCATTCTGGCCCAAATAAAAAAGTGAAGAATGTAACTTGAGCAGTACTGTAGTGGTTATAGAGACGGCAAGTCTTACCACTGTCGACTGGTAGATGATGATGTACTATACAGTACAGTACTGTAGATATTTCTCTTTTAATTAGGTCCAAATCTGGCTTTGTACACTGAAAAATTATAATGTAATATTTTTTTAAGTTATACTTTAGAAATACTATAAAGTTAATTGGCCATAGACTTAAATAAAACAATTTATTTGAAGTGATACAAAGAAGTAAATTTCAGTATTATTTTAACATTTCATTTATTCTCAAAATGTGTATTCAGTAATATCAAAAGTTCATTGACTAAAGAAATAATTTTACCATCTCTTCACAGTTAGTCATTGTGTATTGATTTACAGTAATTTTATTATGTTAAAATAACCTTTAATTTTTTCCTTATTTGCAAATCGGTGTACAGTACTTAGCATTGTTTCAGATTAGGTGATGTCACAGTAAAGTCTCAGTTTCCATGTCATTAAGTTTGCAATTTCAATATGTATACAATACATGACAAATCAGTTCCTTGCCTCCATTCACTGTACAGTACTGAAATTAGACCTGGACAGTGCCACTACCATGGCATCCTCACACCATCTTCGTGTTCACTTAAGTTATTATACTATACATGCATTATAATACATTATATTGCAATTAACAGCTTAAAATACTTTCCATAATGGGGCAGTTTGTATTTTTTAGCTAAGTTTAGTGGGCTGATGGTAGAAATTCAAGTCCCAGAACACATTCTACTTTTCCTGTACTGTACATTATTAATTTTCTTTTTCATGAATTCCATATCTGTGATATTTTCCAAAAACATAACCCCCACAAAATTTGAGAGTTCACTAGAGTCTTCACATGTGTACTTTACTCTATTCAATTCCTCATCATTCCATTCAGCAGGTGTAAAGGATATATTCTATATTGTCCAGGATGTGAAGGTGGGCTAGCACTGACCTTTCAGCATGTCTTCATCCCCACTCCTTCAGTCGTTATATAGATTATTTTATGAAAATATTATATTCTCTTCCATTAGACGATGAACCACTACGATCTGTCCCTCAATACATTTTAGTATCCATAGTGCATCAACATATATACTGTTATGTTATTTCCTGTCTTGAACAAATAAATATTATTTACAGTACATTACTGTATGTATATAGTGAAAGTGGGTGTTATAGTAAAAGTGGGTGCATCAGAAATTCTTAAAATGCTCTCATTTAGACTTTCCCAGGAATTTGATTATTGTCCACTTTATTTCAGATGCACACCACAGAGTTCAACAGTCTAGCAGCCCTGGCAGAGCTATATAACTATGCATTCAAATACAGTGATCAGTTGATGCTAACATTAGAAGAAGACGAGTTCTCCACCAAGAACCGCTTGGCTTACCGCCTAGAGCAAGTGCACAACATAATGACAACCGATCAGGAATGACAGGACGCCCCCCCTGACCCACGGGCTGGACAAGATCAACAGAGGGTTCCGACTTCAGGTCCTGTGGGTCCTGGTTCCTACTCTCCAGGTCCATATGGAGGTTCTCCCCCACATCACGTGTATCCTGGGGGACCATACGGCGTGTCTCCGCCACAGTCTGCTGTTTATGATGGCCAGCTGGAAACTATGTTCACTTACCGTGGACAAGGTGCAGCCATGGGAGATGGGGGCCAAGGGGGTGTAGATGGCAGTGTGTATGGTCTTTATGGTGTTCCCCAGCATGCCAGACTCTCACCCGGGGCATATGGGAGTGCACCGTTTCCCAACAGAGGGACACCACAGGTGTATGAATTTGAATATGAAGAGCCTCGATTCACTTGAGGTATGGTGGTGAGGAGTGCTGTGTTTCTGCTCAAAATAAGTTGCTCTATGTGCAACTGGACAGAAAAACAAAGTGCCTCACACCCAAGGCTACAATGGTGCCCCGGAGTGAGCATGAAAAATAGGCAACAAAGCAACGAACAAACTTGCGCAGCAGCAAGCAAGAAACAGAAGCAGCAAGACTTTACATTAAGCACTACAGTAATTTTGTACTAAATTCCCAGGCTTCTAATAAACCAAAATGTGACTGGTGAAGGTGCATTCTGCAGTCATTGTTTTTTAACGAGATTATCTTGGTGCTGTTTCTTATGTGTGCAATGTAGACTTCAAGCTGAGTGCTACTACCTGGAAAAAACTATATGGTTAGCACTGAAGTGGTGCTCATTCACAGTGTGTCAGAAAACAGCATCTTGTGTTTAGTGTCACTTTTTTAATTGCCAGTCCTGCCCTGAACACTCGTTTGACCTTTGCTCTTCCGTCTTCCATCAAGACTGCACGTGACTCCAGCACAAGACTTCGCTGTTTACAAGACTCCGCTCAAAAAGCCGCCGTAAAGAGAGTCCAGTGTTGGAGATTTAGTGATACTGTAATTCCAAATTCATCTTCATTGTTATTTGGATATGTAAAATGTTGATGTGAAGTAATGTCATTAGTGACATTCTGTTGCCCAAGGAAACTCAATTTATATCAGAAATATTCAGGATATTTTTATTTATTTTTTTTTCAGGCAGACATCCATAAGGAGGTATAAATTATTTTACATCATGGAACTCCCTGAATGCTGTACAGACGATCATCCATATATATTGCCTGCATTTAAAAAGTATAGCAATCATTACTCTTAATAAGCTTCTGTTTGTCCAGGTTTATAAACTGAGTGCATTAACATGTCGCTGCTCTGTTACCGTACGTACCATTATTTCATATGTGCAAAAACTTTAAGATGTTTCCAGTTTTCATGTGATATTTCTATGTGTACGAAACTGCGTGTGTGATTGTGTGCGCATTCTGTTACTGCCATGTGCATGCGTGAGTGTGTGCGCAGAGAAGAAAGCCACGTGTGTGTTGTCTCGGTGTTCTGCGGACCTCTCAGCTTTTTGAGCATATTTTGCTTGCATGGTGGAGATGAGTTTTTGTTTTTTGTTTTGTTTTTTTTACTGTATCCTATATACCCCTCATTAATGGTTCACAGGAATGACCTTAGCTCATAACATCTGGTAAAGAGAATGTGACCTTTAACAGACTCGTTGATACAAGCATTAGTTTGCCTTGGTGTAGGTAGAGGGCTGAGTGTGCCAATGATCCTGGTGACCAGGAGGACAATGCTCCACCATGCTGGCAGAGCTCAACGTGAGGGAGGGAGCCTCTATGTGCTCATGAGTGTAGCGGTGTTCACAAAATTTTGTTTATCCTGGGGTGTCCTCAAGTGATCTTCACACCCATCAGTATATTCATAAATCACTCCATCACTGACCTTCATTTACATTTTTTCTTTTTAGAGTTTTGAGTGGGATACTTCCTGTTAAATCATGTTTTAATCATGTTGCTAGTGCTGTAGCAACTATCTATATCAATCATTTTGTTATGTAGTTGGAGATGGCGCAGGGTTTTAGTAATAATGCTCCTTATTTATAACAAGGATGTACTTTTTTAAAAGAGCTATGGACTAATGATCCTCCATGTATTTCCATGTTTTGAGCTTTTAGATATTATGAAATGAATTGAGTGCAGACAAGAATTTTTGCAATAACTTGAATATGTCTGTTTTTTGAAAGTGTAATTTTTCAGAATGTATCAAATCTATTATCATAAACTGAGCTTGTTTCGGCACCTATGGCGATAGAGACTCAGTGAGGGGTTCTGTTTAACAGTATGTATTAAAAAGAAAATTTTATTAAAATTAAATATGAATTGACCTCTCACTGAGGTGCTCGCATCTGATAAATATCATGTGTAAAGTATAGAAGGTGTAAAGACTCTGGCTGAGACTGGCTACACTCTCAAGTGGTCTCAGAGCTATGTACGGTTGAGTTTGTCTCTTGCACTCTAACTCTCACACCCATCTGTGTACATTCATTTGTGAATAGTTCCTTTGTATTATATTAGTACTCATAAGACCATTTGATACAATCATTACTGGTATTAATTATTAATGATGTTGATACAAATTCTATCATTGTCTACTTAGCTCGCGTCCCAGGACCAACACAATCCTTTTGTTGCCGAGTAAACTGTAGCCTCGGTGAGATGAGGCCATATGTATATAATTGTGGAGGAAGGTCGGCGGCCTTCCACATCCTTCTGCATTCCAGGGTCTCGTAGTCATGTTTTGGACTCTGCAATTTTACACTCCCGTTTTTGTGACCAATGTAATTATACTGATTTTACCATTTGACAGTTCGTTCAGATTTGTAACCTTGACGAGTTAGAACATGAGCACAGGGCAATGATCTCTGGCTGTGCTCAATGACCTCTGGTTCTGTCATAGCCGGGCCCTGGTCTAGTCTCACAGCCGCCGACCCTGCCTACCTGTGTACCATGATTTCCCGCGCGTTCTGTGTATGTCAAATCCGTGTTTCATATGAATGGATCAATAAATTTTTTCACTGTATGCTCTGTATATAATTTTGGCCTTGTGAAAATATGTACTTAAACACCTCATTTATATACAGTATTTTCTTGATATAACGAACTAATTTGAGCCACCCCTTTTCATAAAATCAAAATTTCTGCTAAATGGAACTTTCTGTTATTTTCGCCTGATTTAGCGAACTATTTCGCTAAATTGTGTCATTCCGTTAAATTCCGCACCAAATGCGCCTCTTGGCATGTGGAGTTTGTTTACATCTGCTCAGTCTGTGTCCAGCAGCCACCGCGTGTGTTGTTCACTGCTACATCTTGGTCAACTAACTATTGTGCTTAGACATCATGCCAGAAGTCTCAGATAGGAAGTGGTGTGGGGGAGAAAATCAAAAGAGTGCAGCTATCAATTGGAAAAAGTTTAAAACAAGCACCGAACCCCCTAGTTTAAGGTAAGCCATGAATAATGTTTCTATGCATACATATCATGTGTCTGAGGTGTCTCCATAGGTGTGAGCGTATTAACGAAATTAATCTCAACTTAGTGAACTAGTTCACTATATCAAGTGAAAAATAAAGGAACAAATTCCTTCCGCTAAATCGAGAGAGTGTTGCATCGGATTCCATTAAATTGAGAGTATACTGTATGTACTATGTAGGTGTCAAAAGGTTATTCTTGGGTGTCCAAGTGGTTAAGACATAAGTGATTAAGCAGGATATCCACTGATTTGGAAAACCTGGAAAAGGTAAGGAATTTTATTTGGGGCTGGGAAACCTAGAAAAGCCAGAGAATTTTATAAATAAACCTGGAATTTTATGTTATTTATTATTATTTTGACAGCAATCTTACCATAAATTAATGCTGTACTGTATAATAAGTAAATAATTAAACTTTTAGGAACAAATTCCAGTAAATAGTCCACTCCAATAACTGAATTGTTTGTGTACCAATCAAATTTCATGTTAGTGATCAAATAGCCAAATATTACAGGTTATACCTACTAATTCTGCAATGAGTATTGTCAGAGATGAATTGTTCTTATAAGTATGTGACTTTATTTAAGTGGATTATTTCACATATTAATCATGAATCATATAGGTGGATCAGGAGTGTGATTTTTCGTTTTTTGATGGATTTCCGGCTTTTTTGGAACATCCAGGTCAAATCATGTGAATCTCGCAAATCCCAGGAGAAAAATATAGAGGGGGTGGGGGTTCAAGGTCTTTGCCGATGTTCATCACTAGGTCTAATGATCATCCTTATCATAGCTGATTAAATAAATTAGTAAGACAGCTTTCTGTAACTAGTATTTGGGCTAAGTACGTCACAGGTACAACTTTAATTAATACTGTACTTCAATTCATAGCTGTATAATAAGTTTTCGGTCAGATTGGCTTAAGGTAGGTCCCAAGAGGGTCTTCAATTTCTTGATTAATAATAATATATATATATATATATATATATATATATATATATATATATATATATATATATATATATATATATATATATATATATATATATATATATATATATATATATATATATATATACTATATATCCTCTTTAAATTTCCCAATAGTACAATTTTTACATATTATTCTGTTGTAATAAATGTGGAATTAATTTATCTGGAATTTTTCAAATTTACACCTGGAAAAAGCCAGAGAATTTTGTTTTCTCAGGCCAGTAGGCATCCTGATTAAAATAATATAACTGAAATCTTATATTATTATTATATATATATATATATATATATATATATATATATATATATATATATATATATATATATATATATATATATATATATATATATATATATATATATATATATATATATATATATATATATATATATATCCTCTTTAAATTTCCCAATAGTACAATTTTTACATATTATTCTGTTGTAATAAATGTGGAATTAATTTATCTGGAATTTTTCAAATTTACACCTGGAAAAAGCCAGAGAATTTTGTTTTCTCAGGCCAGTAGGCATCCTGATTAAAATAATATAACTGAAATCTTCCAAGCATCATTACAGCCACTAATCATCCCGCAATCGAATCATGGACCATAGGTTCAGAATCGGCATGCTCAGGAGTACCTATTACTGAGATTTTCAACAAAATCTAATATTGGAGATGGAATTGGATTTTTTTTAAAGGGAAGAATAAGCTATACAGTACTTAACAAAATACAAAATACATATCTGAGATTTTGTCGTTAATCCTTTCACCTGCTGCAGAGTCAACTTATCAGTGTAGTGTATTCTTGGTTGTTTCTCAGTCCAACATGAAGGTGGTTCATCATCTAGGCACCAAGTTGTGGTTCTGATCCTCTCTGGGCAGGAATTCTCTTTTTCTGTGTGTAAAATGAATACCTGATTAGCCAAAAGTACTTCATTTTACTTGGTATATTGTAGGGTTGCCATACGTCCGTATTTTCCCGGACATGTCCTCCATTTAGGTTTCGAAATCTTCATCCGGAAGGAATTTTTAAAATTCTTCAAAAGTCCGGAATTTCAGCTTCCATCATTTTCTCCACGGAAAAAAAAACATGAAACTGTAATGACGGGAGAGAAAGAGAGGGAAGGTGGAAACCGTAGAGATCTCTCTCAGTTTTCGTCAGCTGATAAGTCACTTGTACGCCTGTACGGTGTTGTCAACTTAGCTGTCAAATATTTGATTGATAAGGGGGTAGAAGTTGATGAAGTGTTTTGACCAAGTTAGTAACCTGAAGCAGTTTGTGGAAAATTACAAGTGATGAAGAATTTAGTAATCTGCCAACACATAAAAAGTGGACCAGATACTTTGAAAAATCAAAGAACATTGAATGCCACTCAGAATTGCTAAGAATTGCACAATTCTTCTTTGCTATATCATCTCAATGCAAATGTAGAAAGAGTTTTTTCACTAATGCAAAGTCAATGGACAAATGAAAGGAACAAATTGAGTGTTGAAACAATGAAAGGCATTCTGACTGTACAGTACAACTTCCGAGAAACACCTTGCAGTGACTTCTATACCTTTCTAAAGAGCAATCATCCAATACTGAAAAAGATCCGATCTACAGAAAAGTATGCATGGGCACATAAAGTCACACACACAGTGGAGGAAGAAGACTGCAGCTAAGGGAATGAAGATGTTCAGCCTTAAGCATAGGTATTTTTTTTTTTTTAGATTTCTATACCATGTACTGTATGTTGTATATTAGCCTGTGTGTGCCTGGCGGGGGGGGGGGATGTCTTCGGGAGTGTCCTCTTTTTTGAATGTTCAGATATGGCAACCCTAGTATATTGCAGATTGTTAAGATTGAAAATACGCCTCTTTCACTCGCCATCATTTAGTATTCACTCTCACTGATGCAATAATTCATCTCCTACAAGTTATGTATACTATATCTAGCCAACTTCAATCATCTTTAACCCACCAGCATCACCCACCAGAAAATCACTATTAGGTATGTCATGGCATCCACTCCTTCACACACACCATTGCTTCCTAGGTGTTCCTACTCCTCACCTCAATTCTGGTGCATCCTCCATCCCATCTTTCCTTCTCCACCCTCCTACCACACCCCTTTTATCGGCCTTTCACTTCCCATTCTCTCAGTTTATCTATTCCATGTGAGCATGTGTTAAATATCTCACTGCCATATTTCTTCACTCATACCAAAAATTAACAAGAAGTCATGGGAATTTTCAAATAATTTTGGCGATGCTCACTAACAGAAAAACTGAGTTGCTTCTGCAGGAAATAATGGGAAACGTTTTTTATTCAGCTGATCAACAAAAATCACAGATGGTTCAGAGAAATGTGTCCCCAAGCTCGACTCCTGATTCATTTGCGGTGCCCAGCCACTCAGAACTCATGATACAAACGACAGGTTGACATATTCCCATAGGTAGAGGTTCTGCATGATGAATACATTCTGAATAAATTACACGTAATGTCATGTAGATAATCAGAATTTATTGCATATGCCAAACAAAGATTTTTATTTGGTATATTACGATATATTTATTTTTATGAGAAAATCTACAAAATGGCGTAAACGAACCGAAATAACCACTAATTTGTACCAACTGACACTGCTGGTAGTCAAGGTGGCCGGGGGAGAGGGTATGTGGATGGGAGGAAGGGTGTGTGGTTGGAGGTAGGGTGTGTGGATGGGAGGTAGGGTGTGTGGATGGGAGGTAGGGTGTGTGGATGGGAGGAGGGGGTGGGTGGGAGGAAGGGTGGGTGGATGACAGGGAGAGTGTGTGAATGCGGGGAAGGGTTTGTTGTTTATTTTAGATTGCTTGACTCTCTGAGGCTGGCTTGAGGTTTACGGCTGACTACCTGAAGTGAACGGCTGGCTAGCTTGGGTGAATGGCTAGCTGGCTGAGGTGAATGGCTGGCTGGACTGAGGCAAATATCTGGCTGGCCAAGAACCCCACCAAATAGATCCTTAATGCCAGACAGGCTGCATGTGGTCATTGGCAAGTACTGGACAAGAACTGGCTCCAGAATGTATCTGCACCTGCGCCAGTGTTGGTCAAGTCTGGTCTTGAAGGAGCTCACTCTCGGTGCTGTCACACTCTCTAGCAGAGTGTGCCAAGAGTTTACAAACTCAGAAAAAGTTTGCCTTGACAATTTTCCGAACTTGTGGCTTCTTCAACCATAAACTGTGACCACCCGCCCCGCTAGGCTAGTGGGGCACGTCCCCCAGCTCCAGGTATGAACCCTCGACTGAGTAATGCCCTCTGAGTTGTTTATAAACTTCAATTAAGTCGCCCCTTGACCACCTGTAGTATAAGCTAGGCAATTCCTGTAGGGGGAGGGATATAAATTTGCCCCACTTAAGAGTTTGATAAAAAACAAACAAATATGAAGCACTATGAGTGTATTGTATGTGGAGATTAAAGATTCACATGGTATACTGTGCGTGTAAACTGAGAATATGAACAAGTACTGTGTGTACTTGTACTGTACTTACATGCAGTTTGTGTTTGAGCCAGAGCAATGACATATTTTTTGGCCAAGTGT